CAATATGTCTATATCTAAATATAAATAGTATCAAAATATATTTTTTTTTTGTTATCAAAATATATTTTTAATAAATAAACTAAGATTAATTTCGAAAATAATTTTTATTTTAGTTTTAAATGTTCAAAAATTACTCAGGACATTTTTGTCTTTTAATTCAACCAAAAATTTATTTCTCAAAATTTTCAAAAAAATTTAGTTTTCAAATTTTGTAAAATTTTTGGAATATTAAACCAATCTATACATATCAAATTATTTTTACACATTTGATCAAATAAATTATCAAGACGACTATTACAAAAATATTTTTTGATACCATACGGTCCAATATTCGAAACTTAAGTTCAAATGTTTTTTTTTTGTTTTTTTGTCGTCAAGGTTCAAAGTATATTTTTAATGAAAAGGCCCAAAGTTTCTTTAACGTCTAAAAGAACCAGAAAAAAAAAATTGAAGAAATTGAAGTATCTTTCAGAATCTCAATGGGATTTTTAAAATACTATAAAATAATAACACTATTAATCTATTATAAAAATAATATTAAAATATGTTTGGATATCTCAAAATTTGAGAAACCTACTCAAAATTATTTCATTTGAGATACTCTTAAATGAGTTTTTCAAGGTTTGGAGATACCTAAACATATTTTTGATTTATTTTTAATGCTATTATCATATTATTAACATTTTATAATATTTTGAGAACTACATTCACATACTTTCAATGAAGATGCTCTAAAGGTAAGAGCAAAGGAAGCTCCATAGGATTCATTAGGTATCTCAATTCACTCAACACGTCATTCACAAATAACTTGCTATATTCTTCTCTTGAGTTCAAAGTCATATTGGTTTCTTTTGGTTTCCTTTCATGATATAATCTCAATTTCAAACCAATAAGATTTTGTATAGAGAAAACCAATTTAAAATCTATATATGTATATCTGTAAAACGGTGAAAATATAAAAGAATCCCATGATAAGAAAACCCAGTGATGTTGGAAAAAAATTTCATGATAAGAAAACTCAGCGAAGAGATATTATATACACTATTGTAATCTCTAGGAACAGTGCCGGTCCAACGAAATATGTGGCCCAAAGCAAAAACAAATTCTTAAATATTTATTATTTATTCTTTTTAATAATATTAATTTATAAAAACATAATAGTTCACAAATCTAATATATATTTTTTATTTACAGTACAAAATATATTTTATTTGTGGTCTAAAATATTTTTTCCATGTAGCCCAAACATTTGTTTAACAAAAATGTGGCCCATAAATTGACAAAAAAAATTGGTGGCCAAAGCCATGGCCTAGCCCACCTATCCTCTGACGTGTCTGCTCTAGGAATCTCCTCTTCGGCCGAAAAAGAATTACAATATAACTAAATGATATTTTCTTGTAAAGTCCATAATCCCCATCTTATTTGATCAATTATGACTAAAATACAAATAAAATAACCTAAAGCCAAAAACTCGTAACTAATATTAAATGCATGATGAGGGAGAATTAATAAGATCTACCAGAAACGATTCCGTTTATCCCGCCGGAACAAATACTCACACCGTCTCATCTTTCCGAGCAACGATCCAGACACATTCCCCGCCGGATCCGCCGTAAATTTCACCGGTCAACCGCCGCAAAAAACACTCAAGATACCATGTCCAGTTTCTGTCTCCACTCCAGCGACAATCTCCACGCGAAAATCCCAAACCACGCCGCCGATAACTCCCGGCGTCATCAGGTTTTTAAAACCGACACTTGTCACCGGTCCATCAGTTCCACGGGCATCAACAAGTTGTCCGAAAGAATTCGACATCAGAGATACGTCGGATATAACCTCGTCGCCACGAAGGAGACGAGATTTCATTGTATGTAGAGAGATTTTACAGCCAGTGACTGGACTCTTGGCAAGAAAACCGAATCTCCAATCAGCGTTTGAGGCGTTTGCGTTTGAGACGGAGATGGAGTTAATAAAGAGCTCCAAGAAACAAATATCTTTGCCGCCGAAAAGGTTTCCAATACCTACAAAGAGGAGAGGGAGAAGGTAGAAGAAAAGAGCGGAACAAAGGTAGCAAGAACAACAATAAGCTGAAGTAATCTCGATCGGACCGGTGGGTGGTATACATCGACAATTTTGGCGATTGAGACCACAAGTTGTACATTGAGACCTAGCCATGTTCAAACTGTTTACGACTTTATGATGAAAAGTAACTTAGTTATAAGGTTTTTAGATAAATTTTGAATTTTTGAATTGTTTTTTTTTTTTGAATTGTTAAAAATATGTTTGAAGGTTATTAATCTTGAATTTCTAACATATTAATCTTGATTTTGTTGAAGAAATAAAAATCCGGAAACAAATCTAAGAGAAGCTTTTATGTTTCTAATTAAAAGGAAATCGGAACTACTTCTTCATCGTTTAAGCACCAAAATCTTAACTACTTAAAAAGAAATAACAACAACTAGATGACTAACCCGTACCGTGTGCGGAGTATGAGTTTTTTAGACGAATAAGTTGATTTCAGTATTTAGTAAAGCGAATTTATCAAGTTTTGAAACATTAAATATGCATAATTGCTTGTTTTAAATTTATATGCATGTAAAAAAGTAATATGT